CCTAAACCCAAAAGTTTTCACAGCAGAACACCAGAGGAACACCGTCTGGACATCAGAGGTTCTGTACAGCAGCGGTCCGTGAGTTGTTTGGTACTGGGCCACGAGAGTTGAGGCTCCGGTGTGAAATTTATGGTTTTCAGGGTTTTTATCGTTAACTTGGTTTCCCTGGGTCTTTCCCTTGTTGTAGATGTGTCTTATTTTGAAAGAAATATTTACACCTTACCATAGCGACCAGGGAGCATTAAGCGGCAGAGAGGAGGATGTGTTACGGATTCAAATATCGAGGAGGGATACAGGAGGAATCCAAATCACAACACTGGTCCAGGAGGGTTAGGTCAAACGATGATTTTAATGAACACACGTGTGGGGAGATGTACACTGCAAAACATCAGCTGTAGATCTCCGCCCAATAATACACAAGCAGTTGTTTTTATAACATCAGGGTAATATTTATGACGCCCCCTCATGCGTCAAGCAGATACAATACATGCATAAGTTTCAAAACCACAAATGTTCTGGTAACGACTTTTGACACATTTGAAAAGAACATTCTCTTCGTCTCCACGCCAGGCGCATCCGGTAGCTCATCTTACCCTTGCTTATCTCCGAAACCTCAGAGCACGTCCTACAACAAACTATCACTTATGCAGGCACAAAATGCAGTTGCAAGCTAGCAAAATATGTCTGAACTCTTACCTAGAAATGAATCTACCTACGATGTGTGTGTATGTGTGTCCCGACCTCAATTGCACTCTGTTTCACCTCTCACCTCGCCTACTAAAGCTCCCAACCAGACAGAGGCCACTCTCATATGTGTACTAACCTAACTGAAAGTATATATGTAATATATTGAATAAATGTTTTAATCAAATGACCCTACTTAAAGCTTAATAAAAACATAAATGAACAAAGGATCATACTGAATAATATGGTATAAGTGTTTTGTAAGGGTGTAAGCAACCTTTCCATAGCTCTAAGTCACTTTGCTCAATAGATCAGCCGGACATCGCGCCGGACGAAGCTTCTGACCATCAATTAACTGACCGAGCTTCAACTCTTTAAAAGCACCAAAATGCAATGTGTATAAAATGATTTCTGTTGCACCTGCAATGAAAGATTATTATGTGATTATGCTAACACCTGAAATACAGACTTTAATGTAATATCAACAGCTTCAATAAATGCTTTAATGCAATGCTTGTTATGTGGTTCTAATGCAATGATAATGACTTAATGCAAGGTTAATTAATACAATGATAATACAGATAATAAGTAACAGTGAAATCATTTGTCCACAGGACTACGCTGCTAATAAAGTTACGCAATTACATAGTACATTGACATTTATTATTATATTTACAAAATACCACAGTTTTTGTCTTGGTCAGATCATTTTATGTGGTTGTATTTATCCGCGACACCTTAAAGGTGATCGTTTTCTCCTCGTTTTAATAAATTAAGCCGTTTGGTCTTTGTTCCCCACAACATATCATCAATTCGAAAAAACTTGTAAATAACTCATGAAAGAATAAAGTTACATTGAAACCAAGCACACCATGGTTTTTCTTGTGACATTACTAATAAGTTTGATGTGTCACATGGCCCTCTTCCTATTGAAAAAACAAAAGTTGTAATCCAAGATGGCCGACTTCTAAATGGCCACCATGGTCACCACCCATCTTGAGGAGTTTGCCCCCTCACATATACTAATGTGCCACAAACAGGACTTTAATATCACCAACCATTCCCATGTTATTATGGTGTATCCATATAAATGGCCCACCCTGTAGAGTGTCTACCTCCTCAGGCTGGACTCCAGGAAAAAAAAATTTTTTCAACTTGAAAACAGTCTAATAAAATAAATCAACTAAATTTCAGATTACTGCCTTGTTCTGCAGCTTCTAACCACATAGACTGGTGTATTTTGGTCACTTCTCCTCTGTGTTGGTTTACACGTTGAGATTAATCTGTAATTGATCCAATTACAGATTAATCAGACTGGTTGACTGACAGAAAAGATGATCAGAGAAACAGCTACCACCACCACCACCACCATCATCATCATCATCGACACCGGGAAAGAAGAATGGGTAGAGTTTCTCAGTAAAGGAGCAGCCAGTAAAGGAGTAGATAAGAGCTGCATCATCTACATCATGAAAGGAAACCAGACAGTAACTCTAAAAGAAAATTAAAGAAAGCTTTTTTTTAATAGGAAATTCCTCAGATTGATTATATATTTATAACAATTTCAATAAACAATCAACTAAAGTTCCGCTTACTTGCTTTTTCTGTAGCTTCTAACTATGTCACGTGATTTTGATCAACAGGTGCGGTTTGGTCAGTTCTATTGTTAGGACTTCTTCTCTGTGTTGGTTTAAATGCTGAAATTAACCTGTAATTGATTCAATTTCCCCTTGGAAAAGAGAGACTGACTGATAGATCAGTTGTCACCATCACCCATCACAGGACAGATGATCAGAGGTGGACAGATTTTACCATCATCATTAACACCGGGAAAGAACAATGGGTAGAGTTTCTCAGTGAAGGAACAGCCAGTAAAGGAGTAGATACGTGTTGCATCCTCTACATCATGAAATGAGACCAGACCCTCTTCATAATCCACAAACACCCCCAGCTTCTCAGGATAAGACTGAAGCGAAACACGGACTGGAGGGTCCTTAAGAGCTACACAAAGATTTTCATCTCCCTTAAAAACACACCAGTAACCTTTCTTGGGAGTCCACTCAACTGTGAATTCTTCGTTCCTGTTGACTGACTCTCTGACCACTCCTAACATCCATAAGGTTTTCGATTTAACCTGAACCTCAAAGTAAAATCTGCCTGATGAGAAACTCTGCTTTCCTAAAACAATGGGAAATTCAGAAAATCTCTTTGGGTTGTCTGGAAGATCATTCTCCTCTTGATCAACGTGTACTTGTTTTCCATTATCAGACAGGATGAGATAAGGATGTGCTGTATCAGGATCAAGAGTCACATCCACTGCATACTGCTGGACCCTCTTCAGCTCAGCCTCAAACAATTCTTCAGTCTCTTCATCAAGTGTTGCCTTCAGCTGATCCACAGCTCTCACCACAGTCCCCTCATATGATGGTGGATGGATACTGACCTCTCTCCAGTCCTTGGTGGCTGGAGCAGCTTTCACGGATGAGAAGCTTTGGAGGAGGTGGAGGTGATCTTTAGAGCGTGAGAGCTGCTCCACCTCAGAGCTTCTCTTCATCAGCTCAGAGATTTCCTGTTCCAGATCTTTGATGAAACCTTCAGCCTGTTTCTTTGTTGTTTCCTGTTTCTCTTCAATCTCCTTTATGAGCTCGTTCAGGTGTCTGTCAACAGACTCCTTCAGAGCAGTGAAGACCTGAACACCTTCTGCTTTCTCTCTGTTTGCAGCATCTTTACTCATCTTCACTGACTCTTCGATCTCCTGAATCTTCATTCGTCTCTTCGTGATCATCTGTTGAGTTTCAGCCTCAGTCTCCCCCAGCTCTGCCTTCTTTCCTTCATATTCTTCTCTCAGAGGAACAAACTCATGAGTCTTGTGGTCTATAACAGAGCAGAGCATGCAGACACATGTCTGATCGGTCTTACAGAACAGCTCCAGAGGTTTATCATGTTTCATACACATCCTTCTTTCCAGGTTCTCCTCTGGATTGATCAGTTGATGTCTTTTCAGCCGTTTCGTTGTCAGGTGAGGCTCCAGGTGAGTCTGACAGTAGGAGGCTAGACACACCAGGCAGGACTTCAGAGCCTTCAGTTTGGTTCCAGTGCAGATGTCACAGGGAACTTCTCCTGGTTTGGCAGCTTGTTGCTCTGAGCTGCTGCTGCTGACTTTCTGCTGAGCTTCACGTCTGAACTGAGAAACCATGTCAGAGATGAAAGTGTTGATGTGCAGCTCAGGTCTGGTCTCAAGCACCTTTTTACACATGGGGCACTCAAACCTCTCACTGATATCCCAGTGTTGACTGATGCAGTTTTTGCAGAAGTTGTGTCCACATGGTGTGGAGACTGGATCAGTGAAGACATCCTGACAGATGGAGCACAGAAACTGATTTTCAGATAGAAGACAGCTGGCTGCAGACATGTCTCCACTCTGAGTGAGAAAGAAGAGAAAATGTTTTTATTTTAAATTGAGTTTTAATTAAATCTATGGATTTTATTTAGTTTCTGATTCTGATCCTTCCAGACCGTAATCTGCTTTAGTCTGTAAGTCTGTTTTATACCAAGGAACACAAGTTGTGTTCCTGTCCTATCAAGAACTCTAACAAAGAATTTCGTACAGTGGTTTTTACATTCACCATGTTATTTTCTCTTTGAAATTTTGGTACCACTGTCTCTGTTGCTTTTTGCATGTTTTTTTATGTCAGGATCAACCAGTATGGCTGCTGAGTCAGCAGATTCTGGTATACAAAATGTATTTACTCTCAGTGCACATAATGCACTTGAGTGTGTTTTATTTCTTAAACATAAACAAATTTAGACAATGATGCCCTCAACACGGATTCAAAATAACCCTGTAAATGTAGTGACAAGTAACAATCTGTAAAGCTCTCAATTAGCAGGTTAACTGATATCAGGTGCAGGTTTTCAAGATTAGTGGATGATCCTTTTATACCCAAAGGTTCAGTCTTTGCAAAAGGGGTTGTAGCTCACCACTGTTTGTGGAACTTCAGGAGAAAATTATCTTTCAATATAAAAACATTGTTTCTCTCATCATCTATGGTACATAACATTGTGAAGAGATTCAGGGAGAAATCCCTGTGCATAAAGGTCAAGCAAGGAAACCACTGCTGAATGTGCGTGACCTTTAAGTCCTTAGGAGGTATTGCAGTCAAAACCATCACGCTATTGTGACTGACAGAGCCTCATGGCCTTAGATGTACTTCAGAAGTCATTGTACAATATCACAATCCGCAGCTTTATTAAGAAATGCAGCCTAAAGCTGAAATGTGCAAAGAGGAACCAATATAACAATTTTGTGCAGAAACATCAGTGTTTTCTGGGTAAAAGCTCACTGAGTTTATGGGAAAAAACTGAAAATCCTTTCTTTTTTCACTCGCCTGTTAAATGAAAGTTGAATGTAATTACACAATTGTAGATTTCAGTTTTTATTCCAGTTTTAGAAAGTTTTTTGGGTCGGCCTTGTCATTTTTGAGATATTATGCAAATGCAAGAAAGCAGCCATACATAAGTGATAAACATGCACACTAGAGGACACATCCTGGTCAAAAAGGACTCCAAGATTCCTCACAATGTTACTGGAGGCCACAGTATTGCCATGCAAACAAAATATGTGGTTAGATACCATATTTCTAAGATTTTTAGTGTTGAGTACAATATTCAGCCTGCTGCCAGTATTTTACTGTTAAATATACAAGGTGATAAATAAGAAACGTAAAGCTGAATAAAGCTTAGGAATATTACTAATATCTAAAGATATCTAAATAAAACTTCAAAGCTCAAAAAACACAGAACGCTGGGTAAGAGACCCAGGACCATAATATCTCTATCCTCTGCAGCCCTTTAAAACATTTCTTAATGTAAGTAAAAACTAGAAATAATCACAATAAAATAAAATCAAAACTTAAAACACAGTTAATAGCAATACAAATGTGTTAAAATTAGGATAAAAACAGGCTTTAAAGCAATAATAAAAGCCTGGTTAAACAGAGAAGTTTTCAACTGCTCATTAAATGAGTCCACAGGGTCAGCTGGAGGTTTCACAGCTTTTGTGCCACAGACTGAAAGTCCCCTGTGTTGCTCTCTGTTTTTTCTTGTACCTGTACAGCAAAGAAGGAAACTTACCTTTACTTAGTTTCAGCTTTAAGAGCGAATAAATATGTGACAATGTCTCAGCTCAGGACCGTGTTTTAGGCTCTGACAGTGAACGACACAGCTGATGATTAATCTTTAGACACAGAAGTCTGGCTGCTCTCTATCAGCCCGTCACAGCAGCTGCAAAGCCAGCGAACCATGCATGCACTTTCTTCATTCTACAGATTGTGGCAGCCTGGACGATCTGATTTCCTCGTGTCAGCATTGTTCCCACATCATCATAATTAATGTTGTTCCAGGTTCAACATTGCAAGTGACCAATCACCTTCTTGTGACGTCATTCCTTTGCGACTTCGAAATACCCGCCTTCGAGTATTTCGAAATACAAGTGAAGAAGCGAGAAACCGCCGCCTGTCCGCCGAATTTGAAG